ATCCCTTCTTTGGAGACAGCGACACATTACTGTTGCTTAAACCACCATGTTAGAAGAGCTGCTAACCGTGAAAGGTCTTTGAAGGCGTAAACCCTTGGAAGTACATGTAAGGGCTCCTGGGAAGCCTGTTACCTGTGCTGTTATTACCACTGGCTGGAAACTATGTTAAGTTCCTAAGTAACCTGACTCTTGATTTCGGGACGCCGATCCGAAGCACTAGTGCTGAAAGGATGAATTCTCGCTTCTAAGACATTTAGAAGCCTCTGAGTGGAAGCTCCCAAAGGAGGACTTAAAAAGCGTTTCAGCCAGCGGAAGGATGGATGAAGGGGGCCGTGCAGGCACCAGGACACAGAGCACTGAGGGCTGGATGGTTCTCAGGGTGTGTGGATCGTGGGAAAGACAGCGATACCGGAAGTTCAGTCAGACTGAAATGACCGCTGAGAATCAAGGAGTTTGGCTTTTTTGCGTGAGTGGAAGCTGGACAGCAGCAGTTACAAGTTAGACGCAGGAGACCCTATTAATGGTCACTACAGGAGGCCAAGCGATTACCCCTGCAGGCACACGGGCCTTAGTGAAAGGACAGGTAGGATTGCCATGGTTTCTGGAGAGGAAGCTGATGCCCTCAGTTCACTTCCCCCCAAACCCACAAGATCTGATTCCCTTTCCCCCACCGTACTTGCTTCAGGTCTTTGGAAGATTATTATTGTTGTTGTTGTTGTTGTTGGGTCTTTGGAAGATTATTATTATTGTTGTTGTTGTTGTTGAGTCTTTGGAAGATTATTATTATTATTATCATTTTGAGACAGGGTCTTGCTTTGAAGTTCTGGCTGTCCCAGAACTAACTGTCTAGACCAGGCTAGCCTTGAACTCACAGTGATCCTCCTGCCTCTGCCTCCCGAGTGCGGTGATTACAGGCGTGCACCACCACGACCAGCTGAGAGGTTCTATATTTATTCTTGTAGGAGTGACAAAATTCCTCTTCCATCCTCAGAGTCTTAGCTGTGCCTAAAAATTAAACTGATGGTCAAATTAACACAAGTAAAGCATGTAAGTTTGTTTAATGCTCATTTTCCTGGGAGAGTAGCCCTCATA